GGGGGGGGGGGGGGGGGGGCAAGTCGGGCGGCGAGCAATGTTTCAACTGGGGCGCGCACAGTATGCACGATTGACGCACCCTTGCTACGGCGTGACGATCTGCTGTCAACGGGATTGCGGAGGGCAACAACACGACAAGGTAAAGGAACGATCACGAATACTTTTTTTCACTTCAGGGACTAGTCCCTTGCCCGCCTGCCTTCGCAGTAAAAAAAACAATGCTGCACACCCTGTCAACAATAAAACGGGAAAAGATAGGGCAGAGCAGACAGGGCCTCCCGTTCGACCAAGCCGTCGGCATGTCACGTCATGTCGGACTGCGAAAGCGGGCGCCCTTACACGCCCAATCTGGCTGCAACCTTGCCATGCGGAGGGGTGGTAAAACTAGCCCAAGATCTGGGATTTCCATCAAACGAGAAAACCTGTACAAATTGCAAACCCTGGTCTCTCACGCAAAGAAATAGTTGACAATCAAGACGGCGGCTTCGAGGAAGCCCGAATCACTGCTGCACGCCTTGACCTGGAGGCGGGCTCGAGCCAATAGTCAACCCTCTGCACCATCGCGTTACCCCCCTAGCGCCCTCCTTCCACCGCAAACAATATTGTCGTACGACACCTTCCGTGCAAGGCGCACCGTGGGTTTTCGTATGACCCCCCGCAAACCCTCAACTCATCTCGCTGCAGACAACGAGGTGCTTGAGGTACGATGCATAGGCCGTCCACAGGGTCGGGTGAGCGCTGCCGATTTTTGTGGCCGAGACGAGGACGCCGGGGCGTACGCCGTGTATACCACCAAGAAGCCGTTGTAGGGCGGAGATTAGGTAGACCAGGCGCATCGAGTGTAACATGGATGAAGTGCCGGCGAGGAGGGTGAGGGCGAACGTTAAGGTTTTAGGGTGGTGGGTCGGCAATTATTGGGCTTGGTGGTGGAACAACCGAACGAACACTTGAGGGCGATCTGGTGTACGTTAAGTCACTCGTCTCTTGTGGAAATACACGTGGGAAACTGACAGCAATCAAACCGCAAGATAGCATGCGGGAACAATGGACCAAGGCTCGACCACAAACAGCCAGCGAGGGCTGGAAGTTTGGCAAGGAGTCACCAGCAGACCTCTGTAGGAAGGTGACTCACGGCCTCAACATGCGACACCAGACAGCTGGTCACGAAAAGACTTACACACATGAATCCCCCCTTTTCTCACTTGTACGGGATGTTGAACTCCTTGCAGGCGTCCTTGACGATCGGGGCTATCTCGGCGTACAGCATGTGAGACATGGAGGGGAAAAGGTGGTGCTCGATTTGGTAGTTTATCCCGCCCATCGCCTGCGTCACGAAGGGGTTACCGTTGCTGAAATTCCCGCTGTGTCGCACCTGGCGCGTGGAGGGGGTGCCGTGCACGTACGGTGAGGTCGTTGTCAGTTGATATGATAGGGCCTCTGTCAATTGACACTTGACTCGGCCTTGAAGGCGTTTGACCGCGGTAGCAGCCGTAGCGTATACGAAAGGCACGAGGGTGTGTGCCACAAACATTCGTAGGAGGACGGTCGTGTGAGTGTGAACGGCTGGGTGAATGCGTATTGTTTGGGGAACTTTCAGACATGGATTTCATGATCCTGGTTTGCAGAGGTTCGCGTACGCGTGCGCCTTTATCCCTGGACGCCAAACAGGGCGTGGTGCGCCTTCTATGTCGACCATTCTTCGGTCACTGCTTCGATGCTCATGAACCGCAGAACGCACACCTTGCGGAGAGGTCAACTTCGTACTCGTTAACGATAACGCAACCTTACATTGATAAGCCGGATAGCGCGGCCGGCGCAAACAAACGAAAACAAAGTACACACCTGCACCTCTCCCCAATCATCGCCGTACCCGTCCTCCTCCTCAGTATCCCCCGTTGCGGAGGACGACCCCCCCCCTCTCGCTCCGCCTGCGGGGCCCAGTCCTCTCGCCTCCCGTCCCGCCCCACCCACGACACCCCCATCTCCGCCGGGAATATTGCAACTCTCGCACAAGCAGGCTACGGATGCCGCCTCAGTTGCCGGTGGTTCTGGCACCGCCACAGCCACCGTCGTGGTCTCAAAGGTCGCCCCTCCAATCGTCTCTCTTCTTTGCCCCCCTTTCCCGATACAGCGTCGCCTCCTGAAGTCGCCGCCTTCTCCCGTGGCCGCCACGGTTTTCTCTTGATTCTGGACGCACTCGCTACTGCTCCTGCTGCTGCTGCTGCTGCTGCTGGCATTGGAGCTGCTTGTGGTTGTTGCCGCTTCCACAGCTCTCTGTCGCTCCCCTTCCCTCTTGGCCTCAATGCTGTTGACGATCGACGACTCGAGCGTGTCGTGGTCCGGTGCGACACACAGGTGGTAGGCCACACTGATGCCCATGAAATAACTGACAAAAAGGGGGGGGGGG